TGTATGGAAAGGAGCGCACACACAGCTGGTAGGTGGAGCTTGCACTTCTACTCTGGTTCTTTTGTCCAGTCTAAGCTTAGAGTCTGACAGCTGAGGTTGTCTGTACGGAGAAACGAACAGGTCCGGTGACGCCAAGTGCATTCAGCCTTCAGAATTTAACAACTCTCAAACAGCTTTATAACATTACAACACAGGAAAGAGTCAACCACAATGGAGACCGAATCAGCAGAAGAAAAACCAGTTTCTCTCTAATTTATCCAAGCAATAGTTTAAAACAAAATCAGAGTATTTGAACTTTCACCAAACCTTTTTCTTATCTATCCTAACACAAACCATCGTATTTTGTCAAACACTTCCACGAGTAAAACAACCACACACAGCAGAGCTTTCACACTTGCATAAAGATGAGAAAAACACACTTCAGAGCAATTTGACACTGGAGCAACATTTCATGCCAAACACACAACACACATAAACATTATTATTTATGTATTAATCATAATCTATATTTCTCATATTTCACATTACCCAGCTGGTAAAAATAGTTATCAAGCTTGTGCACTTCAGCATATTTTTTTATTTATATATATGTCACTCTAAAAACTTATTATTATTTTAACTTCTGGTTTTCTGTTTAAAGACTAATCAGAACAAGATCACAGACTTTGAAATTTGTATAACCTTAAACATCAAATTTAGCACAGCAGTGAATATTGTTGATCTGTTTTACACCGTTTAAGGCTTTTTTCTAGTTTTTTTTTTCAACTTCCTCCTCCATTTTACATCAGTGCCTCATACACACACACACACACACACACACACACACTGGTCTCAACACACACCCACAACACACAACTTCTCCAGCACCACGCAGCTCTCGAGCTCCAGAGCTTTGTTCTCACAGCCTCTTTGCTGCAAACTATGACGTCCTCATCAGGCCTCACATGCCTTTGCCAACAACTCTTATGAAATTTACCAATCCCCGGGGAAATAACCGAACTACGACAACGCTTATCTCTGTCACAACTTCAGCGCTTTTTTCTCTTCAACTGTTATCTTTAAATCCCCGTCTCTGCTCTACCGAGTCAGCAGACTGGATTTCTCAGAACCTTATCAGCTGTTGAAATTCTATTCCAATTTGCTGTCCCACCTTTAATTTGTCACTTAAAATTCGTCCGTCATCAAAATGACACAGCTGACTTCACACATGTGTGAATATTTGTCACCGCTGCTCTGGACAAATGCCTTCTCTTGCTGTTATAACTTCTAAATTATGAGCAGGGCATGTATATCTCTCAGACCAGCTCACAATCAACGGAATAACTCCAAAATTGAACAAAAATTGTTCTTACCTATAGGGCCCAGGAGTCAAAATTCCGTAGACCGCAAACCGATCCGAAGAGCACGCCTCTACTCCCGCTTCGTGGTCGCCAAATGTGGTTTTTTTGCCTTATCAAAACACAAGAGAGAGACAAGTTTTGTCCAAACACAGCGTGGGGCATTTATTTGTACAATTCATCAATACATCACCAGCAGCTCATGGGACAGCCTGCAGCCTGGTATTAAATAACCTCGACTGGAACCTTCTGCAAAAGCCCTTCTGCCACGAAGATGCAGGCTTATTTTATACTGTTACTCCCACAGTCCTTTGAGAGAGGATGGGGTGATGTTTACACTTCCCAATATGGTCAACGCGCCCTCCAGCCCAGAGGTCGATGAGCCCTGTTATCTCCAATATGGTCAGAGAGCTCAAGGTTAGCTGGAAGTTACACAAGTTGGACTGAAAAACAGGATGGTGAACCTTTTGGCCCACAAAGATGAAAAACAGCAAGTTGAACCTCATGTACACAGCTTTTGGCTCCTACATGTCCTTTTAAATTTCATAATTAACCGAGAGGTTAACACGCGAGAGGGAGTGCTGTTGTGTTGAATATATGCATTTGTGTGATTCATATCATTAATACGTAAATAATCACACCAGTGCTGATATTTGGCACAACAGCACTCCCTCTCATGTGATATTGTTTTTATACAACAGTTCTAAGAGCAAATTTTCTTATTTAACAATAATAAGCGACATAAGATTATAATTTGTTAGTTTATTCAATCATTTATTTAGCTCCGCCAACACAAATGGTTCCAACTAGAAAGCTGTTGCTAGGCAACACAAAAATAACACAACGTAACATTAGAATGCCTGATATTGTCTGTAAAATGTCCCAGTGGAATGTCTCTTGTCCAATCAAATTACTTGGTTAGAACTAACTGTTGTATAATTTAATTTAACTAGCCTACATATTAATTAGCACAACACCATGAATTACCACCACATTATGTTTGCTTCTTAATGATTGCTAGTTGTTTACTGCTTGTGAACTTATTCTGATCTTTGTTTGACCGTTAGGTGTGATGAAAACAGAGGAGCGCCAATTTGCAGACGCATGTGCCGGGCAGTTTCTTGACGTTGCTAATCAGTGGGGGATAGCTGCCAAAACCAGCACTATTGGAACAGACAGCGCTCGTAATATGGTGGCAGCAGGGAGGATACTGCCATTCGAGCATTTGCCCTGCGTTGCACATGTTATTCAGAGAGCTATAGTAGTGTCACTTCGGGAAAGTGGTTTTGATGGCATTCTGGTCAAGTGCCGTAAAGTGGTCGCACATTTCAAACACAGTCCAGCAAACTCAGACGAGCTGAATGTCCAGCAAGCCTCCCTTGGACTAGAACAAGAACAACTTGTGCAAGATGTTCCAACACGGTGGAATTCCACCCTTGAGATGGTCAAACGCGTGAGGCGAAACAGAGACGCTCTGCACACAACGCTGTCTCAGCAGAAGCACAATCTTGCCCTCCCAACAAATGTGGAATATGAGAAGCTGGCAAAGCTGGAGAAAATGCTGGAGCCATGCAGGTATGGTCTACAAAGATAACATGTTCATGAATTGGCAAACAAGTTCTTTGAAATGTCCCTTTTGTATCTAAGAACCACCTGCCTTTAAATGTAATGTGATTAAGAATTTAAAAAACTGTGTAATCGGAGTCAAATGAATTGATCATTAATTATTTATTTCTCTCTCTCTCTCTCTCTCTCTCGCTCTCTCTCTCTTATTTCTCTCTCTCTCTCTTATTTCTCTCTCTCTCTCTCTCTCTCTTATTTCTCTCTCTCTCTCTCTTATTTCTCTCTTTCTCTCTCTTATTTCTCTCTCTCTCTCTCTCTCTCTCTCTCTCTCTCTCTCTCTCTCTCTCTCTCTCTCTCTCTCTCTCTCTCTCTCTGTGTGTGTGTGTTATTGAAATACAGTCTGGTGAGTGTTGTAACAATGCTGGAATCACAATATTTTTGCTCCACGCACAAAATTTTATCCACAAGTGCGCGCTGCGTGCATGTCTGCGCTCGGCAGGATGTAGATGTGGCCAGAATAAGTGAGGAGAAATCACGGGGAGAGTACAAAGGGTTACAGTTGAAGAGTAGGCATTCTAAATCAGGAGAACAGTGCTGGGAGATTACGGTCACATCAGAACACCAAACCAACTGTTGTTAGTATAACAGACACCTACACCTTTTGGTTTTGCTAGAGAGATCACTCTTGCGGTCTGCGCAGTGGAAATGAAAGCCATCTAGTAGGTTGGTCAAATGAATAGATTGAGTCATGAACAAATATGGAGGTTAGATTTGGAAAGTGAAATTTTCATCAATAATAATTATTATGGTTTATTTTTTTTAAAGGTGGCGACTGCCTTAGATCCACGATTTAAGGACCTCAAGTGCTTGCCCAGAGCAGAGGGAGCCGGTGTGGGTAAAGCTACGTGAGTTGGTGAAGGGACAAGAACCTACTCTGAAGCCACTCAGGGAGGAGAACCCTGAGCCACCCAAGAAGAAAAGAGCTATTCTACTATTGGGATCAGACTCAGATGAGGAGACACCAGTAGACAACACTGTGGAGAGGTTCAAGGAAGAGCCCAGTACCAATTTAGATCAGTGTCCACTGAAGTGATGGTCGGAGCACACTGCTGTGTATGGTAAGATGGCCCACATTGCCCGTAAATATTTGGGGGACTCCTGCCACAACTGTCCCATGTGAGAGACTTTTTTTCTTTAGCAGGCCATATTGTGCAGAAGAGAAGATCTAGTTTGTCACCAGACAATGTGAACGAGCTGGTCTGCTTGAGTGACTGGTGGAAGAAGGAGAAATAGAGCTTGGACTGACTGACCAAATGCTACTGACTGTAAATAGTTAATCATGACCTATTCTGTAGACCTATAGTGCAGAATTTGTTGAACTGAATAAACAGCTATTAAACACAAATACTTATTGATCATTATTTATTTTCATCATCAGTTATCATAGTAAAACTGCTTTATCAGTCTGTGATGCATTTTTGAAACAAGAAATACGCCTCCATTCTCAAAGACTTGCTTTTATTCATTATCTAGGTAGCACACACATATGCCTTGGGCATGAATTTAAATGAGCCATTTTAATCTAGATTAATTCCAAGATTACAGTGAGATTAATCTAGATTAAAAGAATTAATCTATGCCCACCACATATATATATATATATATATATATATATATATATATATATATATATATATATATATATATATATATATATATAATGTGTGTGTGTATGTTTGTATAAAGACTTACACATCCATAAGAAAGTTTTCAAAGTCTGCATCCGTCTCATTTATGATCTGTGATTGACAATTGTATGTAAGTGGATGTCTAACGCTATTGGCTACTGCTCAGCAGTGCTCAATTTAAATTGCATTGGGCTCTATGAGATAGATGAAAGGTTTGGCAAAAACAAAAATGATGTATTGCCTTCATTATTTAACTGTACACAGGTAGACCAACACTTTTATATATTTAGAAAGAATATACATAAATCCCAATGGGGAAAACCACGGATTACTGCTCTAGGGCAACTGCTGGTGGTCTCATTTACACTCTCTCTCTCTCGCTCTTGCTCGCTCTCGCTCTCGCTCTCTCTAG